TTTACAACAGTATGCTAAAATTTATTAGTTTATTTTTTTTAGTTTGATAAAATTTATGTTTTGCTTTTTTAAATTTAAGGTGATGGCACCAGTTCAAATACAAAATATTCAAGAAAAGGAAAAAAAAATTATGGAACTAAATAACAAAATCATCGAGTTAGAAGCTACTATTTTGGATCTTCAAGAAAATTTAAAAGAAAAGGACTCCGTTATTGATTCCAAAACGAAAGCGATTACTCTTATGTCTGCAGATCTTTCCAAAAAGGGTAAGACTACGTTGGACACTCTCGAAGATACGAAAGACGAAATGCGAACGATGCAAGAAAATTTTATCTTGATCGAAACATCTCTGAAAAATAAGAATGTCAGTCTATTGGAACAACTAGAGGAAAGAGATAACAGGATATCAGAATTGGAACATATAGTTAATAGGTAATATATTTTTTAATAATATATATTATGTATTTTTAAAAAAATTTGAAAGGATACGGGTAATACAAGTTAAGCGCAAAAGACGTCGCGCAAATAATATATCTATGAAGTGTGAAACTTCTTTATTCACTAAAACGCGTTTGTTTATTAGTAAATGTCATTATTGATATTATTACATGTAATTAATTATTGATATTATTACATATAATATTGCATTACATATAATATTACATATAATATTGATATTTGTTTCTTATATAAAATAATGTTTTAAGATTTCAAATTTTCTTAATTATTTATTTTTTATACTTTTTAGGTTTGAAGAGCAACTCAAAGAACAAAAAATAGCTGAATTAGCAAGTGCGGATTTTTCGCGTTCCACTATGGATACTTTAGCGGAAACAAAAGACGCGATGAAATCAATGCAGGAAAATTTTGTTCTTGTCGAATCATCATTGAAATTAAAGAATGACAATCTTCTTCAACAATTAGGGGAATACGAAATAAAATTGGCGGAAGCCAAAGAAAGGATATTTCAATTAGAATCTGGTGCTGGTATAGTGACAACTCCGACAGTTGAGGATTTACAATTCAGGATAGAGAAATTGGAGCAGAATAATCGGCAACTTCTGGATGAGAAATACGAATTACAGAAAAATATTGCTGGATTGCAGGATAAGATTGTTACTAGTAAATTAGTATATAGTAATGATGCAATTGTCGAGAAAGACAACAGAATAGCAGAACTTGAAAATTTGATAGAAGAACTTAAACAATCAAATAAATTGTTAGAAGAAGAATCGAAGACTGAGTTACAGAAGCAAGTAGCTGAATTGTCATTCAAAAATGAGGAATATTCTAATAAAATTACTGATTTTGAAAAACAAGTGCATGAACTTGAAGCGGAGAAGAATGATATCGCAATGAGATTGTCAACTGAACAAGCGGTACCTAAAGAAGATATGATAATAAAATTGACAAAGGAATTGGAAGATTTAAATAAAAGTATGATTAAATTAAAAGCTCAACATAGAAGCAAAGTGAAAAATTTACAGAAGCAGTTGGAAAATTTCAAAATGGTAAGAATTTATTAAATTATTATTTTTAGACTCTAATGTTAAAAATTATAATTAAAGAAAAATATATATAAATTTTTATTGTTTTATTTTCCATAAAATAGCTTTACTGACTATTGGAAATACAATTAATATTAGAGGGCATCAAATATTAATCAATTGGGACAATACATTTGCGAATTTCTGTATATGAAAATAGTAATATGTGTGTTCTATTAGATATCCGATACGAATGCAGAACTCGTTAGATTGGGCAATCA